TAAGTTTTTCCAGTCTTTTTTTTTTAGTCAGTTTAAGAAATGGAAAACAACAAAAATATGGATTCATATAACGAGGAAATCAATTCACATAATCCTGACGTCCCACTCCCGTTGGACAGATGGATTCCTACAGAAGGCGATTCTACTGATCCGCTTCAAGACCGTCTATACAAGCTTCAGTATCACATGCTCCTATGTGATCAAAAATTCGAGAAGTGGAAGAGATTTCTACAAAGGCAATTCGAGAATGAACTGGAAGAAATTTTGAAGAAATTTGGTGAGAAAATCAAAGAGCTGGATGATCAGTATGCACCTCCTCAAGAGAACCCAAAGCTAACTCATCGGGAGTGAGTTCTCAAGAAGGGGAGTCTGATGTAGGCAAAGGGGGGTCAACTCAAACCCAAAATAAGTTGGATTTGACTTCCCTTGAGCTTACAAGCTCAATCAATTTGAGCTTGAATTTAGCTCATTTATGAGTTGATTTTTAGTTCATTTATTGAATTAAGGATTAGCTCATTATTAGCTAAGTTTTAGTTCATATTTATCTTTTATTTAATGTACTTTTTATTATAGTTTATAATATCTTCATTTAAGTTGTCTCTTGGGTGTCCAAAAGGGCTTTTGGAATCCCAAGAAGTTGTTTGTTTCCCATGTGTGGCTCCTTGGCTTCCACCATGGGCTATTATTTTTTGTACCTTTGCCCCTTGGATTTCCGGCCGGCTGCTGGTTTTCTGAGCCTGGGAGTTTTCCCGTGGCTTTGGCGTCTTGGTTCCGTGCGGCCTCCTTGGTTCCCGTGGTGGCTCCTTCGGTTCCTGGGCTTGGGCTGTTTTTCCGTGAAAAACATTTGGGTTTTAATGTTTGTGATGTTTAGAATTCCTATGTTAATTCATTGTTAGTGTCCTTTTGTATTCCCCCTTTCATACCTATAAATATGAGAGGTTTGTTATGTTTTAAAAAAGTGAATGTTATGTGATTTTTGGAATCTAACCTGAGGGTTATTGGAAAAGCTTGCGAGCTTTGTCCGTCTTCTTTCTCACCCCCTCCGGAAATTTTGCAAGCTCTTTCCAACATTTCGTCTCGGCTTCTAATCTCTTTCGTCTCTCCGCAAGTGTCACTCCATCTGTATCTTTCGTCTCTAAGTAAAGCAACTTTAAGGTGTCTTTGATTTCGAGTCAAAAGTTGTAATCCGTCGTCGTTTGTAATATTTTTTAAAATTTCTTCTTTTTAGTTTAATTTGAAATGTAAGAGTTTGTTCTTCCTCATCTTAGTCGCATCTTTCGTGATTTAGTGGGTCGTCGGTTAAGGATCAATCATTCGTGCGGGCAAGGGGTATAGGCTCCCTATATTTCTTGTCCCCACCAAATTTTAATTTCAATCAGCTCACAACTTACAAATGAAATATAAATTTGCTAACTTTTAGATAGATTTATATATGATATAAGTATGAATAATATTTTTCTTACTGATTAAAACATAAACTCCTCAAATCGCATAAAACTTTTAAAAATGAATTAGAATTGAAATGAAAATCTATGTCAAATAAAAGAAAATAAAAATACTTGATTGTTATCTTTATGTATTTAAGAGATTTAACATAAAAAAACTTAATATAGCATTCTCACATAATATTTCACCAAATAATAACTATTTCCAAGAAAAATATGTAGAGAAAACTAAAAGAAAACAAGTAAATATTTAGAGAAAGAAAATAAATCCAAAAAACTCTAAGAGATGTTACACGATTTAGTACGTTGAAGCTTTCAAACCAAGAATTTGATTTTGCAAATGTAAAGTATTCTTAGAATGAAGATCAAAGTTTCTTCTCTCAAGATTTAGCATGTAAAGAAAGAAAAAGGAATGGAGAAAATGTTGAAGTTTTATATTTTGAACAGCCCTCACAATAAGAAAAAGAGGGATATTTAAAGGGAAAGGGTAAGCAAAACCATTTTTGAATAAAACGAATAATCTAACATTATTTTATCAATTAATAATATAATATTTGATAAAAAATCATTTGTATTAAATAAATATAAGTTTCAAATGGCTAGTCGCATGAAAAAGTCAAAAAGTCTTCATATACATTCAAAATAAGGCAAACTTGTCTATCTAGCATATAATATAAAAATTGAATAATGTTTAAAAATTATTATAAATTGAATTTAGCTCCAAAGTGGATCATGTAATCTACCAATTTTTATCTACAAAATTCAAAGAATCTAATGAAATAAAAATTATATTATTTTTCTATCAAAATAATATCATTTATAGAAAAAAAAAACTTATGCATATTTTAATGTATTTAAAAATATAATAAATATTCACATAGCAATATTGATATAATTTAGATAAAATTAATTATATATTAGTAAATTTATATGAAATAAGTTCAATTCAAAATGAATACATAATAAAAATTTTACCATATAAACTTTTTTTTTTCTTAATTAAGTATATTTTCATATTTGATAAAATTTACCTAATCTATGAAGCATATAAATATATTTAACAAAGGAATCTTATAGATTTCAAAGTCAAGCTTGTTATCCTTAATTAATAACATGCAAATCATTTTAATAGATATTTAAATTGTCAGCAAATCAAACCATGCAAGTAATCAATGGATCTCTAAGATACTCCTACATTAATATAAAAACCTTCAAGCTATCCATCTTTGCCCATATTGAGTTCTTTCAGCTCAAATTTTGATTAAACTTGAGTTGAGCAATGTACATCCCATATAAGTAATTATCATGTACATTTATCAGACCATTACACCTAAAATACTTAACACACAAATTAGAGTATCCAAGCATATGTTTGTTATCATCAAAATCATTAGAATAGGTCATGAGATAGATAATATCAACACTAACCACCCCTCCCCCTCCTAATGTAAAGAGTGGGGGTCTACTTATAGATTTAAAAATGAATAAAGTCCAAAACAATCCATCAGACAACCTGTATTCATTTCATTGATCATAAAGCATTTATTCAACATGTGGGTGCCTTAATTTTGTCAGAATTAAGCGATATTATTCATCTCGTTGAGACACTAGATTAACCTAGAAGCATATAAGATTTGGAGATAGTTTGAAAATCCGATTGATGTTATGATGTTTCCAATTACAATTCAAGTGCTCTATCTAGGTGATTGAACCATTTTTTGTATCATTGGGTTTGCCTCATCTAGTCGTTGAGTTCGACAATAAGTTCGCTGAAATTGGAGTTCGGATGGTCTTAAGTTTAATTTTGAAAAGTTTCCAATTCAAATATGCAGTAACATTCATGTCCAATCAAGATAATTTTCGATGACATATCGACAATCATTCTTATTGCAGGATTTTCCAGATGCCTAAGTAAAATTTTGTGGAATCAAACCTCTACAAATAAAAAAATTGTTTGATCTTAAGTCACCAGGATTGAGATGGAATGAACAGAAAAAATCAGAAATAGAATTCAACTGTTTGGGTTTATTTATCAAAGGACTGAGGAGTCATCTGGCGCTTGGATTGTCACATAACGCAATTGCAAAAAAAAAAAAAAATACAAGCTTTGTATGGATTTAGAATGCAACTGAAAGATGTGCTTTGAAGAATGCTTCCATCTCCAGAAAAAAGAACATTATTTAAGGGAAAACATTGGAGACTAAATCCAAATAAATGTAAATGTGGCCTTCTTCTTACAGCAGGTAGTATAATCAACCTTTAAGAATACATGGGACTAGTTCCTTTCAAGAAACCATCATATCATCATTATTGTTCAATCCTTTTGTTCAAACAAGTAACCTATACTAATTTTGGCAGACAAAGGTAAATCAAGTTATAAACCTTAGATAGGTTAGGTCAATATTTTCGTAGAGTCAATCCAATCAGACCAATCTGATCCCGTTGATGTCTAGTAATATTCTCAACAGTAAATCCTACGAAGAGTAGTTGGCTAATAAGCCTGTGAGTGAAATCCAGATGTATGGTGGTAGGCACTTTACTTCTAAATTATGCTTCTCTAGCTTTCATTTAAGAGCCATCAAATCAAGAGGGGCTAGCACAAGTGCTAGATAGGGAAAATTAGATATTACGGATGCAACCCCTAAATGAATCAAGCGGCAGACAGACAATTATTGGGATTATTTATTTTTTGTGTTTGTTATTTTAATTATTTATTTTCTTTTTTCTTCAATAAATAATCTAAATAAGTGAAATGGTTGGAGTAGCTCCAGTAGAAGATAAGATTAGAGAAAGTCGCCTTAGATGGTTTGGTCACATAAAACGGCGGCCTTGCGATGACCCGGTTAGGAGAGTAGAGGTATTAGATTTGACTTATGTTAAGAAGGTAGGGGTAGACCTATAAAGACTTGGTTAGAAAATATTAGGAATGACCTTTCTTTATTAGATTTAAACGAGAATTTGACTTTTAATAGGACACAATGGAGAAAAAGATTCATGTAGCCGACCCCACGTAGTGGGATAAAGGCTTGATATTGTTGTTGTTGTTGTTGTTCAATAAATAATCTAAATACTGGTATTGTGTATAAATATTCATTGAAAGAATAAAAAACCTAAACTTTCCTAGCCACTTCTTTCCCACAACATGCAATCCAAGAGAGAAAAATGTCTTCCTAATATTCGAAAGCACATTATTTATTCTTTATTTTTAAAACCAAAATGTGATAATACCCAACATTTAGAGCAACAGCTTCCATTTCACCATTTCGTTAGCATAAAGATGGTAATCCAGAGAACATAGGAAAGAACAGAAATGGGTTTTAGAAATGGACAAATCAAATTAGAGCATTTGAAGCATGCAACGATTAGCGACTACAAAAGTACAGAATTCTTAAAAAGGCGACGGCTTCTACACATTTAAGATGAAAGTTTTAAAATGTATGAACCACAGATTAATCACATTTTGAATATATGAAGGCAATCAAAATGATTTTTCATGGAACAAAATTCCATTGAAGAGTCTTCAAAGTGGGAAGAGATTATTCAACTATCAATTACCTGATATATATCTTCAACTGAAGATGAATTTAGACATAATATAGCAGCCTCAGAGAGTGGCTTCCCAAAATTCCCCCCAACGAAAGCTTTGATGCCCAAATGATCAAGCATCTGCATAAGCATAGGTCAATGAAGTAACGTTAAATCTTTTAACCAATACAGTCCTGTCAGAATATATAAAAGCATCATCATACATGGATTAGTCTGCAGACTATTTGTTTCGTACGGTCCTGAATATGCTGATTTAGACTTGCATATAGAACGGGGCATAATTTTCTTTGCATTTCACAGCAATTTTGCTCTTAGCAATTGCAACAAGCTATTCAACAAAGATCTGCCCTATCATATTGTGCATAATCTTCTTTCTCAAGGCAACAACAGTTAACCGCCAAAATTTCAAGGCCTATAGTGATCAACTTCTTCCATCACTTCATTGAACAAATTTCAAAAATCATTGATAATAAGTGTTCTATATGAAAAAATGTATAAACTGCTCAACAAGCGAAGCTTTATAGGAATGAACCCGGGAGCTGAGCTTTTCTTGAGATAGAATTTCATGAATCCAGTAAAAGATATTTTTGTAAAGAAAAAAAGAGCAAAAAAATAAAAAGGGAAAAAAATGGCCTTGTGACCTTTATAAGAGAGGCTACAACCTCCTTTGAACATGGAGGAGGACCCAAGGCAAAACCAAATATCTACCTCCTTTCTATTTCTAAACCATGAGAAGAGAAGGGAGACCACTATTTTCTTTCTCAACACCCCCCTCCCCCAACCAACACAAAATAATAATAATAATAATGAGGGCAGCTCACCATATAGTCCCTTATTGCTAAATGAGAAGGGAGCTCCCCTTCTTTTAATTTTAAATATACCATCATAGGAAGGTTTAAGAAAATATCAACAACATTTTATAAGAGTCCTCAAGGAGGGTAAAATCTCTAAGCTGTGCTTCTCTACAGCTTAATCTATCTCCTGAAAATTCAACTTGAATCATCCTCTTAGAATGAACTTTTCAGAGCTCGCAAATCCTAACTTGAGAGGTTAGGCAGTAAGAAATTCATTGAATAGTTGCACCATCGTCCTAGGTGGTTAAACAAGATTGTAACTTCTTGAAAATATTACAAGAAAAAAAAATACCTGCCCAGCAAAAGATGTAACAGTTGATTTTCCATTTGTTCCTGAAACAGCCAAAACCTTGACACTGGGGGGTAAAATCTCTGCTGCAAAATCCAACTCAGACATTACATTCCTCCCCTGCTTGTTTGCGATGGCATAAAGTTGGCATTATTAACATATTATGAAGCATTTAAGAAAATATCAAATAAGGTATATTTGTTCATCAGAAAACATTTTCATTACAAAAAAAAAAATTAAAACTCAGATTGTTTAAGCTTCCAATGGCAAATCAATTAATTTCCAAAAGCTGAACCAGTATATTACTAATGAGGCAACGGAAAGATGGGATTCTGAATAAGGAGAAAAACGATGCTATAATATAGAGGAAGAGTTCTTTTCTCTAAAAATCCAGAGAACTAAAAGTTGTCATTTTTCATTATACAATCTGCTCAACAAACAAATAACAAAAAAATAAATCAACGGCAATTTGTATCGTTTACAAAAAATGTTCAGGAATAGCTAGGAATGAGCAGCATAATTCAAATACAAGATAAGATGATTGAAACTCAAAATACAAACAGCGGAGAGAATTATACCATGAAGAAAATAAAAACACAAGCTGCGATACAAATACAAAGAGATTGAACATTAACAAGAATAAGAAGAGCAGAACAAGTGTGTGCGTCTACAAGAGGAGCATGCTAGCAGGGTGGGATTGGTGAAGTGATTGTGACAATCTACAAGCCATAAAGTTCATAAAATGGTACCAAAATGTGTAGAATTTCAGCTCAGGTTAGTGACAATTACAGATTTCATCAAAGCTGAAATCGCATACTCCTCAAGAGGAACTCCGGGAGAAACTACAATCCTATCTGCATGTTCCAGCTGTGCAATGTCACAGTCACCAAGAATTGTTTGCAAATTTGTAAATTCTGCAAATTCAGGTTCGTACTGAAACGACACAGCGTAATATATGTCAGAGATGGCAAAAGCTGACAAAGAACGACTTCAAACTATATAATAGCAAATAAAGCTCACTTCTAATGGGATTAATTGTTCATTCCCATCAACAGCAAGAACAGAAGCACCTCTAGCAAGTGCCAGCCTTGTTGCAGCTTTTCCGGAGATGCCTAGGCCTATAACCTGTCAAAATTAAGACTCAGAAGGTCATTCAAATAAGTTGCATAAAAAAAATGCTATAAATTTTTGAGGAAAAACTGTATAAGTACAGAACTACTCCCACAGATATGCAGCATATGGCCACATAATACCAGGCGCACATCTAGCGCTAGGAAAGATTTTCCTTTCCATTAACCTCTTCATTGAGTTCTATAACTTCTGACCTTTAAAAAAGAGATCAGGACTTTGAATCGCCATAAAAGAAAGACTTTTACTTCCAAACTGCAACGCATGTTGAACTTCTAGCAGCTCAAGGGTTAAACAGTCTTGTTAGACGATAACTACAAGGACTATGACTTAGTATACTCATAAGAGCTGTCAATAAAACTTAGATTAGACCATCAAAATCATTAGAAAATAGATTTTTCTTATGCCAAGTTAGTTGATTAGATCAACCATAGAAGTGACAGTTCAAACGCAATGTGCATCTTGTAGGGCTTATTACTCATACCATTCAGTGAAATTCTTACACAAATTGCCCCTATGAGTTTGACCCGCCAATCTATCTATAATGTATGATCTATGTACCAAACACGCTCAGTACAGTTCATATGTAAATTTAGCATATAGTTTTCTAAATTAGCCAATGAATATTGTAAAATTAGCAATGAATAGTTCGAACCATTGTTTTTAACCAAAATTTTGATCAATTTGATCAAAGAAACAACTTGATATGAAAAACTTGAGTTCGCAAATAACCCTAAGGTAATACTTGAGTTCGCAAGCAAACCTAACCCAAATTGATGAACAAACAACAAAGTTACTGCTGTTTACATCAGGAAAATAGTCAAATCCAGTAGAAAACAGAGAAAACTGAAGAGAAATCTGAAGAAAATCAAAGCAAATAACTTGTATTCCATTAGTAGATGAATAAAAACAGTAACGACACAGGATTCTTCAATTCGAGAGGAAGAAAAACTCTGAAAAATCTCTACCCGAGAAGACTAGAGCCCAAACCTCCAAGAAGATCCCAATTTTTTAGCCAAATTTAAGATGAAACCCTAATTCTCCCCTTAGCCCCTAATTAACTTCAAAGGACCAATATAAAACCCCTAAACAACCCTTCTATTCAAAATTTTCCTCCAACACTTGATTTAATCCAAGCTTGGGCCCACAAGGGCTCCCCCCTCCTTTCCCTGGTTCCGCCCCATGTGGGGCCACCTGGAATAAAACAGGACCGGTCCAGGTTGGATCGGTTCAGCCGGCCCAGGTGGGGTCGACCTAACATTACTCCCCTCCGAAAGACTCACCTTGTCCTCAAGGTGAAATGAAGGAAATTGATCTTTCATTCTGTCAAATGGCTCCCAAGTAACATCAAAATCGAGGAGGCCTCTCCATCTAATCAACACTTATTTGTTGCCCTCTTCATCTGATCTTACTCTTGTAAGCTCTAGTGGTTCTAAAACTACTTCCAAATCCTCAGTCAGTGTAGATGGTAATTCTGCACTAACTGCATGCTCCCCCATTTAGTACCATAAGAGGGTGTACTCCATCATTCAATATGTACATGCAATCATTATACATAAATCATATCATTTCATATTGATTTATATAATAAACATCATTACATTTAATAGATAACATCTCTATGATATAAAATTTAAGTCTTTCAGTTCAACATGATTAATTGTCTTTAAATAAGAAAAATCATAAAACATTAACAATAAGTAATTACATAATAATACTACTTGATACATCATGTGTAAGAGAAATAAATATCATTATTATAAATTAGGACATCAGTATTCATCTTGATTTAAATAACTTTTGCCCTTTTTTTTTCCTTTTTTTACATCAATAATATGACACTGATAATAATACATAATTTCATGAGGTTCTATTTACTTATATATCTAATCATATTCTCTCTAATTAGTTATTAAATAAATATACTTAAATAGTTCTTATTTTAAATGATAAAATTTCTTCTCTTCACTTTATCATTTAAATATGGAAAAAACATAATTTAATTATAATTAATTTAATATACTCTCATTTTCTATCAAAGAAAAAATCTTTAATTCGTTCATTTCAAGATTTATAATTTAATTAAATTAAATCTCTCAAACATACGCTCGCTCACTCTCTATTTATTTGTTATTAATCTTAAATTTTAATTTACATATTATTATTTTCTAAATAAATTTCTTTATTAAGATATTTTAAATTTAATATTATAGAATATAAATTTCCTCCCCTATAACCACTCTTTTAATTAGATTCGTAATAATTGACTTATTAATTATTTAATTAAAATCATATATAAATATTAAGTTTATTCTTCTTATTTTTTCTAATATATATGCATATATTAACATTAATCATTTTAATCTAATAATTCTAAATTATAATCTAGATTTAGACAAAATTTTAATAAATAGGAAAACTTACTTCTTACTCCTTAAGTTGAATTTTGCTCGTCCCCTAGCCTGATCGTCCGCTCTCCTCTTCCATGCTTGTCGCTAAAGCACAATTTCTCTCCTTCTCCTCTCGTTTTTTATAAAGACAAGCCCTATGACTTCAAACAACAAAAGCTCCTCGCCTTCCTCATGGAAATGAAACAACAAACACATCCTTTCGTCTCCCAATCGATAGAACACTTTGACCTCATCGTCTTCACACGGCTTGCTCATTCAGTTTTGCGACTCCAGGTGACAGAAAACGACATCAATTCACTTTGACTTCTTCGACACCGCCTAAAATGATGAAATCGACCCCCCTTCAGATTTTATGACTCCAATCGACATCTCCTTCATCTTTGTCTCCTTAATCTTCGCGGGACGGGTTCGAGATATTACAAAAGAAATAAAATGATTATGATTCAACAATTATTACAATAAAATTATAAAAAAAAATGATAAATTAGAAGAGAAATAATAAAGGATCACTTAATATAAGAAAATGTGATATAATTTATAAATATTTTAATAAATTTATGCTTAAACTCTTGAATTCTAATTATTTTAAGTGTATTATAAATTAATATTTTTTTAAACAAGATAGCTCGCGAGGTAACGAGTGCAATCAAGGTTGGCTCAAGCTTGGCTCTTTAACTCATCAAGCTCGGCTCACAAGCCATTTATCGAGTCGAGCTTAAGTCAACTCAAAAGTCGGCTTAACTCACTTACAACCCTAAAAATTAATCTGAAATCTAAAAGGAATGATTATAGATGACATTTACGTTGCACTTCGTTTACATTTATAGAATCATAGCTTCCTTATTGTTGGTTAATTGTTTGTGATTATAAGTCTCAATAAACAAATATGATGAATACTTACATGTTTAAATTGCAATATCTAAATGATACATAATTAGGATCCATATGGAATTGGGAGCTCTTAAATGATGCAAATGAGTATACTAGTAAGAACATTTTGTATAAAATAACTTAATTGATGATAATGAGATGTTTGACTTTCAATTATGATTGAAAGCATGCAAGCATCAAGACCTTTTCATTTCAAGTATGATGTCAATTTATTGTTAATTACAATGGTTCTTAAAGATCTAATATGAGGCAATATATCTTTTTGTGCAAGTCTATCATAAATTTAATAAACATATAGTAGCAAATATTTCATACTACACGTGTAAGACACCAATAAGGGTAATAGTAGGATGGATCCCAGCTTCTATATAATTTGAGACCCTAGAGGTAAACATTATCTCATTGTACCCTTTGGCCTTAAAACAAATTTAGGGTATCTTCACTGGCTATTAACTACTTGAAACCATGATAGTGTGGTCTAAAGGTGCCTTTCGAAGAAAACAGCTAAATTAAGATTTAAAGATGAAAACTTAAGAGGAAATTTTGCTTAGTCTAGATTTGGACTAGCATTCACAGGTCAAAAAACTTATGAAGTCTATATGAGATAGAGCATAAATGCAAATATTAAGATTTGCAAAGTATGGCAGTCATATTCGTGATCAAATTACGACTGAGGGATTAGAAATGTTGAGATTCAAGTATAGCAATGTACAATGTAAGGGGCAAGCAGTCGCAGATCTCTAATAGATGAATAACATTGCCTTTGAACCCAAAATTATAAGGCCACATGGCCAATTGTCCTATCCGAACGTTTAAGCATTGTGTTGAGGGAGTAATGTGCATATCCATATGCCGATTATCCATATTCTCATGAGTGGATGGAAAATACTGGAAAAATAGATTGTGTGCTCAATAAGGACTTGCCCTGATCCAACCCATCCGTACTTTAGGTGCTTGTAATCTACCTCACTACCATGGATGGCTTTAGGGAATAGGAGAATTTCTTCTCGTTTACAAAATTTCTCCATCTCTCTCACAAGGAACACTCAAGAGGTTCTTTAAATGGTACTGTAAAAGGCATTTAGGACTTCAATTCAATACTAAGATTGAATTTGTGATCAAATTCATGACTAAAGCAACTGGACTGCATCCCAGCGGTCCATGACAAAAAAACAAAAAAAAAACTGCGAGTTTCATCAAGCCATAATTCTGCGTTTATTTAGAATGATTTCTTTTCCAAAAAAAGAGAGAAAAAACTGTATTGAAACCTATTTACAAAAGAAAATAATCAACAATTAAATTTACAATTCAAGCTTTCATTGATGCTGTTCTTCTGCACAACCTTACCGGTGTGTAAGAACAAGCTGCGGCATTAATAAACATTTCTAACAAGCATAATACCAAATTCATAAAATAACTCCGCTCCTTCACAAGCAAATTCGACAAAAATGATTTTTTACGACTTTTCATCAACGCGCATCTAAAATGGAAAACATTTAGCACAATCAAAGATTTAAAAAAATTGATTTGCGGTAACCAAGAACCTAAAATGCAGCGGAATGGGGAGGCTCACCGCGACCCGCTGCCCTTTGAGATCTTCTTTGGAGCAACGAATACCGCGAAGACGCGAAGGAGGAAGCAAACTTAAGACCTGAAGGCTTGTAGATAGAAAGAGCGAACCCATCTCGTCTTCTACGGAAAAAAGCCTATGTTACCCACTGCAAGTTAGTTCTTCTTATATTAGCGGAGAGTAGAGAGATGCCTACCCAAAATCTTGTCGCTGTCATGTGTTCTCTCTCTTTCGCGTGATTCATGAAGGCCGTAAGAAAGCAGGAATGCATCTCAGTGCATAGAGTCCAGTTCGACAATACGACAAAAATTCGTGAGGAATGCATCTCAGTTCCATGAAGGCGTGATAATCCAGTACTTTTTTAGGGCGAGTTGTTTGAATTCTCAACGGAAATTGGACTTTATATGAGAAATATACCCGTTTCCACTCATTTAAGCTTAGGCTTCCTTTGGTTATTTAGTATTATTGCAAAAGACAATTTTAAAAAATATTGATTTAGAAAATGAAATTTTTTAATGAAGGAGCATATATAAAAAGCTTTCTCAAAACGGCAGAAAAATGACAAAAATGGAGTTATTGGGAACGTGATTTGACAAACCAAACAACAAAGAAGAAATAAATTTGTCGTTTTAAAACAGAATAAGCATCAAAAACTTCCAATTAAACGAAACCTTTATTTTCTTGGTGCTTTTGTAAAAGACAGTTTTAAAAAACATTAGCTCAAAAAATGGAGTTTTTTAATGGAGAAGCGTATATAAAAAGCTTTCTCAAAACTGAAGAAAAATGAAAAAAAAAGGAGTTATTGGGAACGTGATTTGACGAACCAAACAACAACAAAAAAATTCCTCTATTTCCAAACGAAAAAGGCAAAAAAATGCTCAAACAAACAAAGCCTTAGTTTGTCTAAGCTTTCCTGTTGTTTTTTTAAAAGCAGTTTTTTAGTTAAAAAACTAAAATTTATGAAAGTGATTTTAATAAGTAATAGGAAAATCATCCCAATGGTTTTTTTTCTGTTCCTTAAAGCAGTTTATTAGTATAAAAATTTTAATTTTTTTACTTATAAGCTGATTTATGAAGCCATAAGAAAATCGTCTCAAATAAAGTTTTGTATTTGACTGAACATCTTCACATTGTGTTCAAATCAAATTATGATAAAACAAGATTCGAATATAGTATTATCCCCACCGAGTTTAGCTAAGTTGGTGGGCAAGCATGGTTGGGAATCTCCAATCCACGTTTGATTCCTCTCTCTCAAGCGGCGTGACTCCATAAGTGCGAAGAAAATAAATGCGTGGTCTGACACTTGTGGGGTTGGTTGCCGCTATGGCCATTGAGGGATTAGCTACTCCCCAAAGCGCCTCCTCTACGGAAGTGACAACGGGTATATACCGAGTTCAAAAAAAAAAAAAAAGATTCGAATATAGTTTGAAAATTGGTTAACTGTGATGTCATAATTGTTCAATTATTATAATTTGTTTGAATATGATTATATGTTATTCAAATCAAGTAATGAAAGATTTAATGTACATGAAAATTAATTTTTACATCACAATTATAAATGGACCTATAGATCTATATTATTATAAAATAAATTTATATATAAGAGATCCTAATTAAAAAAATTATATGCGATTAGGTGTAATTTTTCAGAATAATTTTTTAAATCAAGTATATGATAGGTCATATTGTATGTACTCAACAATCATTGCTGCAAATAAGAAATAAAATAATCATCAAAATATGTGTATTTCCTACTTAAATTTTCTTTAAAACTTTAAATTAATTACATTTTTAAAGACCTAGGGACCTCTTATATATTGACCCTCCTTCATGTCCATAATAAGAAAAGTTCATATTTTTTTGTCAGAAATCCTAACTCCAACAACCTAGGGAAGTATTTGCATGACATATTCATCATTTCCATATAACATCATGGACATCATAGGAATTGAGATATCACTTACAATACAATAAATTTTGTTCCAATTTGTTTATAAAAAAAAATAAGCTTTGCATCAACCAATGACTTCATAAACTTTTCGGCTTCGTTTAGGATGATTTTTTTATTGCTTCTTAAAAAAAATTAATAATACAAAAAATTTAATTTTTGTATTAGAAAGCTACTCTAAGAAGCAGTAAAAAAATCTGTCTCAAATGAAGCCTTCATCTTCATGAGTACCACATAAGTTCACTTAATGTATGTTCGTTCTTCAGCATATAAAAAATAGAGACCGACAATACGTAACATTGATCAAATGATTTATCCAACACAACTACACTCAATTTATAGGTCTTCAAGTGACACCATTTTCACTCTCTTTTTTAGTAATATAAAGAATCATTGCGTTATAAAAAAAAAATTATGTTATTCAAATATTAGAATCATATTTCAATGAAGTAAAATATTTTTCACCTTATTATCTATAAATATACTAGAAGTATTTAACTACTATAACTAAATTATGCTTCATTGCCCCTTCTATTTCCCTCTCCTTGGAGATGCCAACCCACCTTGATGTGCAAGAATGAAGTAGGATAATTTCTCCTAATTAATCAAGTTGAATAAAACACTAGGCTTTTGCCTCTTCCTTGATGGATCTATGAATCCTAATTAAATTATTTTTTATTCTTTTGATGTCCTTCTTTAAAACCTTAATATTTATGCATCACTCCCATGCATAAATTCAATAGATGGACCAACTTTCTCAGCCTTCTCAAATTCTTGTTATATAGGCACAATGGTTGATGCCTTATCCCATACCTTATTGAACTCCTCCTATAGGGTTGGTTCGCTATGTTCTCCACCTTGTCTTATGTCTCATGCTCATTCTACACTTCATCCACAACATTGTCTCTATGAATGCGGAACTTTGGATTGACTTGTTCATGTTATGATAAATATATATACTAGACTATTTCAAGTACTTAATTTTACTCTAACAATATTTGATTACGCTCCATCCAAATTCGGTCGCTCCTCGACTCTTATACAACGATTAAAAATAGCTTCAACCATGAATTCATAAATAAGCTTGGCTTGATTTGCATATGACTAGTTTTTCAATGCCTTTATTACTTTTTCCTCAAAATGGAAGGGAGTGCTCAATTTCCTCTTTGTAACTATAGTTACGATAACCTGAGTAGGAGTTTGTATAATAAACATATATAAATCTTGTTCAATAACTTCATATATCATCATAGGATGAATAATCACCTACAAGAAATAAATTATAAGTTGATGATGATGTCACACCCTAGGTCAGAAAGGTGATACATCCAGACAACACAAGACGCAATGAAGGGATAAAAAAATTTGTCTTGTACTCACAATAAGAAAAAGCGCATAAACTAATAATATAAAAAAAAGATATCATAGTAAATAATGAGATGAAAAGTCAAATGTTTATTTCACTAATATGAATTCAAATAATAGTATACTAAAGCAATATAACTAATATAAGCAAAATAACTTTGAAAGAAATAGTAACATGAATGAAAATATCCAACCCACAAAATCAAATGCATAATAATCTATTACAAAATATCAAATATAATCTATTGCTAATAAATATGCTCTTGAGGTAAGGGTCAACTAATCATAGTGGCAAGACTTGCTGTAAAGGGATCACTACAGGAAAATCATCAATTACCGGCGGCTTTTCGGTAGTCAAATTTTCTACGATTTTTTTAGGGAAGACAATGAGACAGTTTTTTCGGTGGAAATTTTCAGCAGTTTCTTTCTGGCAGCTTTTCCAGATTTTCGATGGATTTTAGGTAATTTAATGAAAATGATTAAAAATATAACTATTTAAATTATTTAACAAAATTATTTAAAAAAAATTAACTAATTTAAGTTACTTATTTCCTTAATTTAAGTTAAAAAATTAAAATTAAAATTTATTATTTAAATTAATTTAATTTTTTAATAACTAGTAAATTTAAAAGTACTTTAATTAATTATTAAGTTAATAATTTGTTTTAATTTAATTTTATTTATAATAATTTATTTTAATTAATTTTTATTCTTAAATTTATTAGTTATTATTAATTTCTTTAATTACTTATTTTTTATTTCCATAATAAAATTAATGACTAAATTTAATATAAGTTTTTAATTTTGATTAATTATATGGTTTAGACATAAAAACTGATAATTAAAATGTATTTTTCTATATAGCAATCTGGTTGGGAGTTTGAAAGATTTCCAACCAACTGGAGTTCGAATCTCATGGGATGCAGGAGCGAGGGCAGAGCGGACGGGGTTTAAGGTAGGCGGGCATTGAGGGCGAGGGCTTTGAGTAGAACGGGAAGGTGGGTGGGACTTTGAGCAGGCATACAGCATGGGTGGGGTCTTTGGGTAGGCAAGCAGCGCAGCTAGGCTTCGGTTAGCGCTCGAGTTCCTACGGGCAGCGCAGGAAGGTTGGCAGTCGAGCAGAGCAATTTTTTAATTAATTTTTTTTTTATTTTAAGGGGCATAATTTTTTCACTAGCCACCATAATTATTTACTGCCTAAAAACTGCCTGTAAATTCTAAAAGCATCAAAAAATGATAATATTTTATCAAAAAAGGCCGTCGGTATTATGTGATTTTGTTGTAGTGTTTGTTTCATGGTTTGAAGGTAGAAGGCGCAAAAGGCTTGTGCATGTGGAGGGTTGGGGTTCAAACCCAGCCAAAAACATTTCTTGCGGGCGGGCTCAGTTCGGGTGGCTAGGCTGGTGATCTGTATGGGCGGGGCTTATGTGGGCGCGGTTGAGATGGCGATCCGCACGGGCAGGCCCTATGGAGAGGGCTTGGCTAGGATGGAGAAAAATGTGGGAGTATTGGGCTAGCTAGGCGAGATGGTCGGGGTGAATTGATTTGGATTTATTTTTATTATTTATTATTTTTTTAACCATCTAGCACAAAAATAATACCCTTAAAAATTTTTTTTTATCAAAAAATCTGTTATAAATAAGCTGAAAATGTTTTTGGCAAATTATTTTGTGACAAAAGGCCTTTTCCGATGCATGTTATATCGTCAAAATCATTTCTGCTAGAAATTAGCTAGAAATGCTTATTTACGATGGATTTTGGCCATTTTTCTAATGTTAATGGCCACCGAAAAATGATATTTTTTGTGTAGTGGATCAAGGGATTCAATATCGGTCGTCTTTCTAAATCACTCCTTATTTACCCATGATCTTCCTCCTATTTACGAGGCATGCCATTCTAGGAAATTTATAAATAGACCACTCTTTCCTCTTGAAAAGGGACCCCTCTAAGCCTTAGGAAACAAAATAGAGATCGGAGATTGCTCTCTTGCCTCCTTGCCTCCTCGACCACCAACAGAGCTTCACTAGCCCACCAACTGATGCTTGTAGTTTTGTAGGATCACCACCTGATACCCAGAGTTTGATTGGGCCACCACCTGATGCCAAAGTTCCATCAAACCTCCACCTGATGCCCAAAGTTTTGACTGACCACCACCTGATGCCCGATGTTCTGCTAGACCACTACCTGACGCATGAATTTGCTGGACCACCACCTCACACTACGAGAAAACCCTTCATTACTGGTGGAGAATATTCGCAGCTAATACAATATTTTAGTCAAAATTATAGGTTTCCGGCGCACGTTTCGACTGAATTATCTACGCCGGTTTGGAGAACGTCGGTAAAAGTCTTCCGGCGCATACGTTTGCGCCGGAACACTTTCCGGCGCCATTTCCGTCGCATTACCGGCGCAAAAAATGATGGCAGTCGTCGACATTTCGGCTGCTGACTCCGGCAACATATGCACCGGTAATTTCCGTTGTATGATTGTGCCGGCAATTACCAGCGGATAAAACATCGTTGATACGCCGTAAATAACCCGCAGAATGTTTACGGCACAAAATATGCGCCGGGAATTGTTGGTGGATATGATGCCGGAAAGTTCGACTGTACTTTTTGGCTTACGCAAAATGCCGGTTAGATCGATACGGTTCATTGTATCGTCGTTTCCGGAGACGTACCGGCGCCAAGTCCGCCGGAAACCTGTAGCATTCACAAAAAAAAAATTGCCTTCCCAGCCAACAATCAGATTTCCACACCTGCAAACCTATACAAATATCTATCCACAACAGTTTATAACATTTCCAGAACAGTTGATAGCAATTCAAAGATGCACAAAAACATAAATACTCATTTAGCATTGTCTCTAAGAGTAAAGACACTCATTCACGTACATGAGCATCCTCATCTCTGTAATACTTTTATATCAATTGCACAATAGGCCTTAAACATTCCTCCACTATATATCACATGATAGGCCTGAAGCATTGTCTCCATTTAGCATTGTCTCTAAGAGTAAAGACACTCTGCCACTTGAGCATCCTCATCTCTACAATACTCAACTTAATTTTTTACTTCTCTTTTTATGGCCAACATTATGTGACATAAAGCATTGCAGGTCTCACCATCATTTATAGAATTTTACCTATAGGTTTAAATGGTCCTTTTCTATCACACAACAGGTTTGATGTATTCCTCTACTTTAACCAACCAACTTGAATTCTACTAATAACATGTTTTCTTATTATTGAC